TTTTAAAGATTCTCTTAGCCTTATATTAACTGGCATTCCAATAGTGGATGGTAGATACGCAATTATCTACGCTAATTCCACGAATTTCGAAGTTACTTCAATTATAACGGAAGGTTTCTACATATTAATATTAGAGTACGATCAAGAGACTGAACGAGAACCAGCTGTTCTTTATCAAATTACAATCTATGAATTAAGTTTATTAACATTAATTGCGATGTTTATGTAGGAATTGGACAAGTTTGTATAGTAACAGGCGAATATATTGTACAATAGGAGCGGTTAAAGAAACCATTTATTAATTTTTCTTTCATGTGAAACAGCATATAATTTAAACTAATAAAGATACAAACGAATCCATTAATTGAGGATTATGCTATTCGTTTATTATCATATGAAGGTTATTTATTAAGTGGAATAGGAAGAAGTGATGGTCAAATTGTAATAACTGGTTATGTTTTTAATGATGATGGTGAAATTTATTCTTGGAATCTTCCAAAAATTGTCGAATCAAAAGCTGTTATTTAATGAGGATCAGGTACGTGACAACATTTAGAAAAATTCAATTATTGTAAAAATTGTAACCTTTAATTTAATTTTTATTTATTAAATTAAAAATTCTAGATCATGGGTATAATAATTTCTATATCGCTTCCACGATTCCAAGTATTAATGACATGATTCCATCTTATTTGGAGTTCCTTAATATTAAAATTATAATAAAGTTGAATTATCAAACGGTAACATTACAATTTTTCAAGACGATGATAATATACGACAAACCACTTCGGGAATCAACGGCTTCTTTTCTTTATGAAGACGATCGCAAAGCTTTTCTTATGAAATTAAAACAAGAATTTGCTGATGCAATTCCTGTCAGACCTAATCGCATAACTACCAATTAAGGATTTAAAATCGATACTTCGGTTTCTCAAAAACAAATCTTTTTTATCCATTGACGTTAAAAAAATGAAACTGAGCAAGGAAGATCAGTTAGTTTGGCATTAAGGATGTAGATAGTTTGATTAAGAATAAACCTTATCGCCTCAGGTGAATCAATCAGTTATTAGATGAGGATTATGATATGAAACTCTCCGTAAGAATTCAATTTTTTAAAATATCATATAATCACTTTATATCCTGAACATAAAATAGCCAATTGGCGAAAAACTTACGGATCAGTTCTTATTGGAGTTATCTCGAAGTGTAGGATGAGATATGTTATTATTCAAATGCAATTGAGAATACTGAGATTAGGGTTATGATACATTGTTTGAACTATTCATTCTGTCAATATTCATATATGATTCAGTCACTTCATCTGATGTATTGTTATCATCATTTATAATCGACGCAAAGGGATTGCGTCCGGTATTTCCAATAATTTTATTACTGAAATGATTTCCGTCTAAAGAAATGAAGAATCAAAAAAAAATTAAGAATAAGAGAATATTTATAACATTATCGCCAATGGCTAGTTCTTGGGTTTGCTCATTTTGCTTACATTGAGCAGCATCCTTCAGAGTTGTTGTAGCTTGCATTATGAGTGGCCATCAGAGCTGATAAAATTTGTTGATTGTTATCAAATTTTATCGACAGGTTCCTTTAATTTACATTTAATAACCTTTTGTCCTTTGGTAGTTATCTAAGCTAAAGTCAGATCATTGTCACCTTTTTCAATATTAGGACTTTTTTTTCGATCATCTTTAGCAGAATGTTTTATGTTTGAAACCATTTCAGATCTTGATTTTCTTTCAGAATTAAGAAAAGTAAGCTACTAATTTTTCTTTGTAAAATCCAATAATTTTTATGGTAACTGCCATAGAATCTTAATTTTCATTTGATTTCGGATAATTTTGTGAGGTATAATAACAAAAAATAAAAGCCTTTAAGTATTATAGAAAGTATATGAGAATAATGTTTAAAAAATTAAATAGACATACTTTATTATTGTAACATTTTGAAGAATTCGTTTGAAGAAATGCATATCAGATCAAGAATAAAATAAAGTTTAGTGTTGTATAACCATACATTAAAATAAGAATACTAAGCTATCGTGATCACATAATTTATAAATGATGTGTAACCTAAGATCGTTCTAATATCTAAAATATTAATCGTTTATTTCTTTTAGGGAAGGCCTTCGAGATACTTAAGATATTAAGATATTTTAGGTTGTTAGCTTGGTTTTGGTATAATACCAGGCCTAACACCGTAAATAATGAAAATTTGGATAAATACTATATTAATTTCAGTTTAGTTTTTTTTTTATTATTAATTATTTTATGAATAAATCTTTTTAACTAAGTCAAGTTATATATCACCATAATAAAAATAAAAATAAAAATTAGGTTAAATTCTATAAATCCAAGACATTTTAAATCTTTCTCGGGATAAAGTACTTTTAGTTCGCCTCAATTTGAACTTGGACATTATGAGACTCATCAATAGTAATCTTTTATTCAACGCTTATAATATTAATTAAAACGTCATCAACAGGCCATCTTCTATTTCCTTGTATAATTAAATTTCTATTTGGATTATTTTCATCATAATTAGAGGTGATGATAATGCCTTGTCTTTAATAAAGGCATAAATCGTTCATTTATCCAAACTTTGATAGATAATGAAGAAAAGAATGTTCCAGGTAATGCTTTACGGAATGCATTGATATTAGCGTTGAGGGAGACGATTGTGAGTAAGAAGATGGTCAGAGCGCACGATTAAATAGATCACTTGCCGTTGGAAGTTTCATAAAATCATGCTCAGATCCTTGATATACTATGCCTAAATAATTAAGTAGATAGTATTACGTAAAATTTCCTAATCTATGATGACGTAAAAAAAATTGAGGACAAAATAAATTGTTATATGATTAAATCTCAACAATTAACAACTAAAATAAATAAAATGAATGAATAAAAAAATTGATTTTTTAAAGATGCTTACAAGTTGAAAAAAAAAATTACCGGTTGATGACCATCAAAAAAATTCCTAGTACACTATTATTATTAAAAGATTTTCTATTATCACATTAGCACCAGGAGTAATATATAAAGGTTGTAATTTTGAATAGGAGATACCTAAAGTATTATACATATATCCTTGATAAGATCCAACAAATCCTGCATTAGAATTCGCTACTTCACCGATTGTAAATACTCCACTACTTTGAGTGAACCCACCCCAAAGACTATGTCGAATGCTTTTTGCTGTATCGATATATATACCATCAAATTCGAATTTTTTGGCCAACCAATTGACTCATTTGTTAATTCAGAGACCACGACAGATTTCTGTGTAAGATCTATTCAAAGAAAGATGAAAAGATTTTTTTTTTTTAGAATTAGTCTTTTTTAAAAAAAAAAAAATAATATACCGGGCATTGGCAATTTACCACCTAGGCTAATCTCCAGGATTATTAATGTCACGATAAAAGTAATAATCTTCAATTTTATTAAATGGATTAT